CAACTACACTAAATGTTATTGTACATGTAAAGTGTAGAAACAAATTTTCAGCGAGAAATATTGGTACACAAGCTTTGCTTGACTACATCCAAGATACATGATTCAAAATATGTTGTTTGACACCAAAATAGCACTGTCACATTTAAGGAACTCACAATATTTGTAAATACATTATGTTTGTACATATAGCTCTTACTGTATAACCTCAAATATATACTGGTAACAAACAATTTGGTTAATCAATTTAATCATTCACTCTTTATATACCATCTTGAATTATAATTTCATCTGTGTCTATATCTGTCAGTCTTTCTTCTCTGTTTAATAATAATAATAATAACGTTTTATTTACCCAGGGTAGCCAATTTAGTTATAAAACTGCTCTTCCAGCGGGCCCTGCATAACATGTTATTACTACCCTTCTCCAATCTAATATGCTGAGCGCCTAGCTAGAAGGCAGAAGGTCCCATTGTTACAAGTCTTTGGTATGACTCGGCCGGGGTTTGAACCCACGACCTCCCGTTCATGAGGCGGGCGCTCTAACCACTGAGCCACCATGCCCGGTTTGGATATTAAAGTGCAATCAACAGTGCATGGTTATCTTAAATACCAGGGGGGTATTTCACAAAGATCCTAAGTTGAACTTATCTCTAAGTTGGACTTAAAAATTATGGAAAGCCATTAGCATCTTTGAAAATATTTTGTAAAAGTTATTTTGAAAGGCATTAATTGTTTATTCAAATCATTCATATTTTCTATCATCAAGGAGATTTCATGTTCTGGATGTGGAATTTATAAAAAGTCTAAAATACTTGAATTTCTGCTTTTGAATATATTTCATTTTAAGACTCCAATGGCTGTCCATAATTTTTAAGTCCAACTTAGAGTTAAGTTCTACTTAGGATCTTTGTGAAACACCCCCCAGATTAACAATAATCAACAATAAATACATTAGCTTATAAATGAGCAAGTTTCCACCGCACAATTTTTATAAGTAGCGCCAAATCAACAGAGTGTGTTACCACAAGGCCAGATACATGCAGGAACACAAACAAGACTTGCATCATGTAATGTGTGGAGTAGAACCTACTCGAGAATATAGCATAATAAAATGTGCAATACATGTAGCAGGGCTAAGCAATCAAAACAAGGGGAGAAATCTACAGAGGTATTAATTGCAAGGTGACAAATATATTTAATTTTGGCATCACTAGAAATATAGAACCATAATAAGCCGAGTGTGTCTTGATAACATGCACTCCAAATCATTAGTATCATCTGCTGAGAGCCAGAAGGGTGTTAACGTTGTGTGAAGTCAAATCAAATCTTGGTATGTACTAATCACTGAAGAAAGACAAGTTTAATCCTGATGGATTATTCAACTGTCCATGATCATCCGTAACTGCACAGCGCCAAAATCAAGAGTAACCCACTAGCGGACACCGAAGGGCAAATAAGTTTTGTATCACTTTATGCCTACTTCCAAGGTATGATATCCAAGGTATGGAATGAGTTAATAAACTAATGGCTCTAAACAGACAATTTTATACATGCTACAGTTGACAATAATAAAATTGATACACAATTACATCCTGGTCTATACCTCAACCAGATTAAAACAATCAAAAACAAAACATAGGTTATTATCTTATACCTTAATTTACTCTTGGAAATTTTCTGCCTTAATTTTGTAGAGTACATTATTCTAATCCAGTAACTCAAATTGAACTATGGTGGTTTGGTAATTAACATGAGAAATCCAAAAGAATACAGTAAATCTATCAGGTATTTTTTTATTTTTTTATTTTACACATGAATATTGTCTTCCATTATTCACATCAGTTTTGCTGGTTGCACTAAGATATATAGCATTGTATAAAGATACAAATCAACTTTAACTAGGAATGTATGTGTACCACAGCTAGGTCACTGGTTTTCTATTTCCCCTTTTTAATACTGTATCAACTAGACTACTAGCATGTAGTCCACACATCCACGATAAGAAGACATGGGGAGAAATATCACTATAAATACGAAGCTATGATGTCACAAAATAAAAATGAAGATAAAAAATAATGTCAAAAAGAACTTTGTTCTAGCTATACTGTATAACATATATATATATTAGACTCCATCAAATGGAATCAACATGCACATACAAAATAATCTGGATATCTTTGTGCTTCAAAATAATTATAATTACTAATTACTAGTTAATAATTATCTATAAAAAATATATAATACAAATTGAGTTGTCTGCAAGATTAATATGGATGAGTTGTGTGTGCTCGTTTTCTCTTGAACACCCTTTTCCTGCTCTAGCATTCATTGTCTAAAATTTCTACCTTGTAGATCCCAACCTAACAAAATGAACGCCATTCTTTTGGTGTCATTATCTTGATAACAAGAGGGTCCAAGCAAAAGTACTGGAATTCTCAAAGGTAAAGGGTCATAATTGTATTGCTGCTTACAAATTCAAATACTGGAGTACCTCATTAGTAAGTTGTGTATACTTGTATATTATCAGGGAATAATTTTCCTGGTAACGCATCGCAATTTGCTATGCATTTTTGCATGACTGCTATACAAAATATTGTTTGTGTAGCAGTTTTCTTCCATAGAAATGTACAGAATTTCATTTGAAATATTTATCCATCAGCTGAAATTGCTAATCAAAATATTTGAGGAAAATTATTCCCTGATTATATTTATATCACTTATGAATCAAAGTATTTTGTTTGTCATGAGGGTAATTAATTATTACTGGAATCATGATCTCTTTTAATAATTTAATTCCATTTCTTGAATCTGCAACTGATCTGTAGCATTATCCTTAGTACAGCAGCAGGTTATTATCTATAAAGCAATGTAGCATGCAGATATCTCTCTTTATGGCAGTGACAGCTACGTTTCCAATTATAAGGCGTTTACCAGTAATATCACATTTGATATTTTATACTAATAATAATTAACACTTTTAACTAGCATATAATATAATATAATATTATACCGGTACTAATTTATTAAACTCCAAATCATCCATTTCATAGGCCTATTACTGCCTTTCTTTCACTGAAAATTCCATGCCCATGTTTTTACTTATATCTATTTCTCACCCACCCTTTTTCCTAAATGTTGATGGTTAGATATTCATAAGCAGGTTGTTTCCAACATGTATTTCTTACATTCGTTTTAAATGCTTATAATTGATTTGTAATGTTTTGTTGGAAACATGAATAAATTTGAAATTGAAATTGAATTAATGGACATGTATCTAAAAAAAAATACAATGAAAACATGATAAGCATTTTATTTAAAGAATTCTAGTACTGCATAGAAAATAAGAAGACCTAGGAATGGTAAGTAAAAATAATATAAAAGGTAGTAAAAGTATAAAAAGAAAACCAAGCAAAAAGTCTCTTTTTTCATAATTCATGCAAACTACTGGAATTGTATATTCTTGCATAACCACAACTGAAACCGATCACAGTGTCCATCTGTAATTTCTGACCTAAACAAATTGTAACTATCACTTTTTGTTTCTGTTTCTCGATAAGCTTAGGATATGAGAGTGAGTGGTATAGTATCACGTTTGATTCATTTACTCAGACTATCACATTATTTTCAATGAAAAAGAGTGGAATAGTGTCAGGTACTATCCAACAATTTCCATTGCATACAAAAAATGATGCATTTTATCATTCTTTCATTACAGGATCTACACTGTATTAGCTCTTGTTGAGGCTCTGTATGCATCAGTCGTACATGTACAAAGCCTGGTGGATTCATACGATGGGTGCATACATTACAGCCTCGACTTAAGTGTAGATACACTGTAGATTATTCAATGAACTCATTCACTTGCATTATGTATATACTATTGCACCCAATATATGTACCAGTACTATGATATGTTGCAAACCATATATATGTTCTACATTCATCAAAGTGCTATAAAGACATGACCTATAAGACATGCATACACATAAGAAACAGAAGGAAAAAAATGAATTATCTACTCCTATTTTCTCCAAACATACTTCCTTCTTGTCTTTCATATACTCTGAATCTTTTTCTTTGAAGCATAATTACTTCTGATAATAAATAATTTTTGGGGCATATTCATAGAAATCAAACGGGTGTCTAGTAAAATAATTATTCATAGAGATCAAACAGGTGTCAAGTAATATGAATATTCATAGAGATCAAACAGGTGTCTAGTAATATGAATATTCATAGAGACCAAATAGATGTCTAGTAAAATAAATATTCATAGAGATCGAACGGGTGTCTAGTAAAATGAATATTCATAGAGATCGAACAAATGTCTAGTAAAATGAATGATGGTTTGTCTGGTGCTCATGAATTTCCAAATATTCTAAGTACATTAAGGTCGTCTTTAAAAGGTCACATATGATGCAGTAAACTGACCTAAAAACACCGTCAAGGTGAAACAAAACCATTGTATGCACACATGAACGCTAGAAGCAACATTAAAGTCTCCTAAGCATAGTCACTGATCTGATACTAAAAATACAGGTGCTTATATTAAAAGATACATCGATGTGATTTTATTTCGCCATGGCGGATTTTTGAAGCAGTTTCTTACTGTTTCATGTGTGAATGAGGCCTAAAGGTTAACCCTGTTGTTACCAAATAAGAATAGGCCATTCTCGTAATACATGTATAAACATATCTATACTTCAGTGGCCTGACACAAATTATTTCATTCCCCTCTTACAAATAATTGTATTTCAATAGTCAGAAGACAAATTGTATAAATTACGCCTTGTTATTTCAGTAGGGCAAGCCACTATGTTTGTCCTGCCTACTTAGCAACAATTAACGTATGCAATTCACATTCCGACTATAGAAATACAATTATTTGTAACAGGTGAACGAAATAATTTATAACGTGGCTCTTAACAAAGTTTTATGCATTCAATTTGATTACATTTCGAAAATGGCCTAATACAGTCAAACCTGTCTATAGTGACCGATCAAGGGAAACAAAAAATGTGGCCTTTGTAGACAGGTGGTCACTACAGCAGGTTTGACTGTACCATGAATCAACACCGATGGCATTTCTGAATGGTGCCGTAGGGCAAATGATCTTCCGCAATCACAGGAAAAGGGGGAGTAAATAGAAACAGCCATTGGAAACGGAACACGTGTTTTCAAATAGTAATATGAAATGTACTTGTAACAAAATCTGCCAGGAATATTCAAAAGAAGAGAAAATGTCACATCCTTTTCAATTCATTTCTAGTGAGTCTCAAAGAGTGACACCTTTCCCATATCAGTTAACTTAACGTTTCTGATGGTTTTGGATCAATTTTTTTACACTATTTCAGTTTAAAGATACAAAGGTCCTTTTGATTCAAAGCTTTCATATGAAAATAGAATTAGATGTGTACATTATCTACGGTACACTGTATGGCCGAATAATATTTATATGTATCAAACACTTTAAAACAGAATCTACTATGACCCCAAACGGAAAATCACTGCCCTTGATACTGCATGGTGGTAAGAAGAAGATTAACCCCGGCCGTGTCCAGCACGATGTCCAGCGAACAGGGCTACCAAAGGAACAAACGTCCACATTACAAAATGGCCGATCCCCATCAGCATGTTGGTGTACCTGTAAAAAGCAAGAAATAGGCAAAAAGGGCATTTAAAGCATTGGTTTTTAAAGATACTGCTTATTGTACTTAGTAGTTGGTCAGAGTCAAAGATGTAAGCAGATTTAGTTGATTTTCACAGATGTGGGGGTGAATGTATAGAAACACAATCCCCCAGATTTTCTATTGTAATACTTGCACTAAATGTCATTTGGCACTATAATCTCTGCTAACTTGCTTAAATAAAAATGTCCTGTGGACCAAATTGTTTCTGAAAATTTTCTATTCATACTTATGATATCTCAGGGTTTGTTTCTATTTAATATGACAAAAAAGAGAGAATTCCAATAGAACTACTTATTCAAAGGTGAAAACATATCGGTCCCATAGAAAAATAATATTGACCCGCTAACCCATGACCTATAAAACTCTGACCTTTCTCATAGACTTGATAGCCAATTAAAAAACTTTAAAAAATATCTATTTACAGTCAAATACATTCATATTCATATTCATATTTATTTTATTTCCAACAGAAAGGTAAACAAAGATATTACATTTGATTTCATACATAATTCATATTTTCATGTACATGATGGATACACTTCAAGTTAAACTTCTTTTGGCGGCCATTTATCAAAACTGTCACAAGTCTAACTTCTTGGACATCTGATGTGGCACAAATTCTCGCCACGATAATTTGTGCCGATTTTTTGCAGAACCTGGGGGGTGTTTCACAAAGATCCTAAGTAGAACTTAACACTAAGTTGGACTTCAAAATTATGGACAGCCATTGGAGCCTTAAAATGAAATCTATTCAAAAGCAAAAATTCAAGTATTTTAGACTTTTTATAAATTCCACATCAAGAACATAGAATCTCCCATGATAATAGAAAATATGAATGATTTGAATCAACATTTTATGCCTTTTAAAATAACTTTCACAAAATATTTTTAGGGATGCTAATGGCTTTCCATAATTTTTAAGTCCAACTTAGAGATAAGTTCAACTTAGGATCTTTGTGAAACACCCCCCTGACAGTACAAATTGTCGACAGCCAAGGGGGCTAGGTGAAGGGGTTCGGGTGTGGATGTGTGTTAGGTGGGTGTTTGTCGTGTGGGTGTGGATGTGGGTTTATGTGTGTATGTGACGGTGACTTCCGTCATGGAGAACTTTTGATATCTTCGTGAACTCAAATAGAGACCTTTATGATCACAAAATACTTTTATTATGATGTTGTTGTTGATGATAATACTAATGACGGTGACAATAATAATTATTATTACCCGTATCAGACATCTGAGCTGGTCATTTACAAAACCGTATTGCCCTAGTTTTCACTAGCAGTGGGAACGGAGGGGTATATTCTTTGTATTTTCCTTGGTCTCCCTGCGCGTATTGACTTTGCGTGTAGAGACGAGTGAAAATATACCTTGGTATTTTCCACGGACTCGCATCCGCGCATCTTGTATTGACCGCGTCGCATTTTCATTGCGCATCTATTATGCGTACGAGAACCTGCGCACTTTGCGCGCACTCTATTGTGACGTAATAATCACACCAAATGCACCAAATGCACTGTTTGCAGTGTATCGAAAATGTTGTCAAGCACTGGATGCACAGTGCTGGTTTGACAAAGTTTGTTCAGTTCTTGAGATTGTCACGATGGATGTCTGTATTTGCTCTAGATGTCTGATTTGGATAACAATAAAAAATATTGACTGGCTTTACTTTCGGGGGATATCAGAAATATTGACCGCGCTAAGACCATATTGCCCTCGTCTTTCGACTCGGGGCAATATGATCTGAGCTTGGTCAATATTTCTGATATACCCCTCACGGCCAGTCAATATTATATAATAATGAGGAGGAAGAAGAAGAAGAAGGAGAAGAAAGAAATACTGATATTGTAGCAAACAAACTTGACTACTGGTTACAGGTATGTCTCAAAACCTGAAGTGTGCTGGGAAGCCTGTATGTTTCCAAGTTGTCCGTCTATCCAACCGCACATACATACATACACGCGATAAGAACGCCCGAATGAATTTTCGTCAAACTTGGCTCAGAGATATTCTACGGCTGATATATAGATGATTTTGAAATGCAGATTTAATGGTTGATGTAGTCTATAATGGCTGATGTCAAAATTTTATTTTATTTTTTTGAACGTAAACTATTATTATTTACCATCTTGACATTGTTCAACAAATTTGTGGTCAGACCCCGAATTGGTTGTGTAATTAAATTTACTCAAGATTTTCAATTATTTAACATAAAAACCCACATACCAACACACAAACATCTACTCCCATACCCACACACGTACTATGCCCATCCCAAAGGATATACACATATACACATACCCACTCCCACACACACGTACATCCGTCTCTTTGTCCCCTTGAGAACTTAGTTCGGCGTGGACAACAGCAGTGGTATTACTATCATCATTGTTATCAACTTATAAATGTAGGGGGATAATATTTCAGATCATCTCCTAACCCCACCTCATTTTTGGAGAGGGGTATCTCCTCCCACTCCCCCTCTCACCCCCCCCCCCCCCCCGACCCCACCCAGTCATGACTCATATTTCTCATCGTTGATACCTCTTCTGCTACATATTCAGCGACTGTCAACAATTTGTGCTGGTGGCAACCATGTGTGCTGTCAGGTTTTGCAAAAATTGGCGCAAATTCTTATACCAAAAAGCATTTCTATGGGATGTCCATGAACTTAGACTCATGATGGTTTTGAGAAACTGGCCCTGTTGTATAACATACAGTGACTGAACAAAATCTGAGAGATAAAAAAGGCTATCATCTGTCAAATTCATGACTCTGACCAATACTAAAAAACATTTACCATTATATTTGCTATATAAGAAGCCACCATTATTATTATTATTATACAATGACAAAAATGCAAATGATATGAAACACAGATTTTAGCTCCTTGTTGTTTAAAACTCAGCCATTTTTGTTCCTTCTCCTAATGTACATAATATTACGGTACTCCAAATCATATTTATCTAATGTTACAGAACCAAATTACAAAATATGAACTTTTGCCCTGAATAGCAACTTGTTTTGCTTCACAAATCTTTGTACAGACATTTAGATTTGTTTTTCAACTCCAACTCATTTTGCAAATAAAAGCTAGGAAGGGATACAGGTAGGCACACTGGCAGAAAAGCAAATTAATTCTCCATAAGCTGTAAAACAGTTATCAGGGGAGTGTTTCACAAAGATCCTAAGTTGAACTTATCTCTAAGTTGGACTTAACAATTATGGAAAGCCTTTAGCATCTATGAAAATATTTTGTAAAAGTTATTTAAGAAGGCATAAAATGTGGATTCAAACCATTCATATTTTCTATTATCATCTTTATCAAAGAGATTTCATGTTCTTGATGTGGAATTTATATAAAAAAAGTCCAAAATACCTGAATTTTCACCTTTGAATATATTTTATTTAAGACTACCACTGGCTCTCCATAATTTTTAAGTCCAACTTAGAGTTGAGTTCAACTTAGGATCTTTGTGAAACACCCCCCTGCAATAGCCTTTGGTTAATAAAGCTGGATAAATACATACATCACATATTAAAGTTAACACAGTCAAACCGGTCTTAACTCTCCATCACATATAACATGGTAAATAGCAGTGGGTTTAATGGTGAACTAAATGATTGGCAAGTGGGGATGAAAAAGCAGCTGCGTGCAACAGGTGCTTCTGCTTCTACATTAGGCCTAAAAAAAAATATGTTGTATTGCCCTTTGCGACCGACCCAAAAATCTTGAAATCTATGGTCGGCTTTATTAAAGTTAAAGCTTTTATTAGTTTTTTTTTTAACAGTTTTTTAGAGAAAAAACAAATTAAAGCATTTTCAAAACTGAGAAAAATCAACCCAAAGAGGGAGAAAAACAGTATTAAAAAAATAGATTTCTGACCGACTGACCCATGTTTTGGCACCTAAAGGGCAATACAACATTTTTTTTTGTAGGCATTACAGTGAATCTCTGTGTTATAAGATACACAAATGTGAATTGCAGAATGCAGATGAGTACGCTTTGAAGGAAAAAAACAGCGGTTTATTGCAGCATATATGAACAAGCGTTTACAGGTAGACGGAGGCCCCCTCCTCATGAAGGCCATCTCAGATTGCCCAGAGAAAGAGATCTTTGTTGTCAAACTTGATTACCGGTAGAATGACCAAATGTCCACAAAAAAAAATTCTTCATTTCCCTTAGGTGGCCTATAGAGACAGGTTTGATTGTACATGTGGTTTTTTCACAAAGACTAAGAGCGACTTTAAGTTAGACTTAACTATGGCATGCCGTTCATGCCACTGTTTGCTTTCACCATGTACTGGCATTGGTCTCTCAAGCGACGTACAAATCATGGTCACAAATCTGCAGAATTTAATTTTGTTGATAATTCATTAGTGAAGGAAAAAGTATTATCTAAAGATTATTATTGAGAGACTGAGCAACCAGTACGTGGCATGAACGGCCTGCCATATTTAAGACCAACTTAAAGTCGATATTAGTCTTTGTGAAACACCCCCCTGTAGAGACAGGTTTGATTGTATCTGGAAACGCAGAGTCAGGTTTGGATGAAGCCTTGTTCATTCAAGCATGACGTGCTAAACATAAATCACAATTGCATTGGCTTTCGATCTTGCTTGGTGCATTATTCCATTAGAAATACGGTAAATGGTTATAGCTGGGATGCAAAAAATGTGTTATCTGCAACGGTTAGGATTAGGTTTAATGTTGGATACAAGATTAAAGTGAGGAGTTTCAAAGGGAGAGGGTCATCAGTTTCCATGTGCAGAAGGCCATAATTCGCTGACACCACACTTGGTGGAAATACCATTCATGGATAAAGTTTGCACACAGCAAACCCATGGTACCATCAAGAAATACCCCCTTAGGCAGGGCTCCCACTTAGCCGAGTTGGAGCCTCGAGTTCTGGCGAGCTGGCGCGATCTTATGGCAAGCAGTTTTATCAATAAAACATATTTCTTGATATCCTGAAATCAAATTCTTGATATCACAAAATCGATTTCTTGATATCAAGAATTACCATTGCTTTACAACGTAAACTTGTTTCTTGATATCAAGAAATATGTATTAATGATAAAACGGCTTGCCATAAGATCGCGCCAGCTCGTCCACAACTCGAAGCTCCAACTCGGCTAAGTGGGAGCCCTGCTCACGTCTCTCAGAGAGTCTTCAAGCACCATCTCCTTGCTTCAAGTGAGGGAAATGTAATATACCGATAACGACTTTATCATAGGGGGGAATGGGTGGAATATGCAGGGCATTACATAAGGCCTGTAGGTCATAAACTGAAGGCTCATTCTGGTGACTGAAAACACCTGTTATTAGGAAAACACCTGAATGGCGTCAAATTTCCCATGAGAGCCCTATGGTAGAGTTTATAGAACTTCATTATAGTACGATGGCCTCCAGTTGTACTTGCAGTCATTTAGTTACCAGGGTTAAGGTTAGTTATTAATTTGAGAATAAAACATAATGCTATGAAATCAGTGCATAGGCTTAGCTCCTATGATATTCTTAACCAAGTTTTGTTGATTCCCCTCACCCAAAATTCCATATCTCTTTCGCCCAACCTGTACCACCCCCCCCCCCCCCCCTCCTTTATTTCTCACTCTTGACAATAAAATTATAATTTTATGTTGCATGTAATTCTGAATTCAAGCAAAAGACAGAAAAACATGTTTTTTTAGGAGAGAAAGGGTGACAATATCAAGGGACCAGCGTAAGTTACTAGATCCTAATAAGATGACGTCAACTGTTTTTGTCATGATCTTTTAGACTTTGTTGTAAACAACCCAATGTATGAAAATGAAACAAAAAGTGCTGCTGCAAATCTGGGTTTTGTTCATTCAAAAAGCAGCCAGTTTAGAAGATTTCTTTTCTACAACTTGCACAAAAATAAAGAAGCAAAATGCTGCTGCAAAATCTGGCTTTGTTAATTCAAATAGCAGGCATAAATTTGCAGCAATATCCACATTTTGCAGTGAAACTGAAAGGATATTAGTGGTTATGAGTATTGATTAAATCAATTCATAAATACTGATAATTAATCAAATTATTAGTGTGGTTCTATCAAGTAGATAAAGATATTCATATGGAAACTTGGTATTCCATACTTAGTCTGAGGATTAAACCATGGACTAAAGTTAGTCCGCCTTCGAGAATACCACCCTTTGAATTTGTTAACACAGTTTGTTATTCTACTGTGCATGCAACATTACTGACCAATGTTATTACTGCTTAGTGTCGGCTTTGCCTTCCCTGGGCAAAGAGACGAAAGAACAAAAAGAGTAAAGAACAGAACAAAACAAAACAAAACATGGTTTAGTAAAGAATCAAGAACGTATTGAGTTAAACAAAAGAAGAAAGATTTACAGAGAGTTTTAATGAGAATGAACCAGAAATGTATACTCAGCTAGAATTGAAAAGGTACGAGAGTAAACATGACAGAAACTACGTTGAAACATGGAATTTGAAATAATTAAAAGGGCCTGTTGCATAAAACTTACCATTGATGGTAACTTTGCCATCTATGGCAACTACCATGGTAACAGGGCTCAACAGCCAATCAAAATCAAGGTTTCCATGGTAGCTACCTTGATAGCAAAGTTACCATCAATGGTAAGTTTTGTGCAACAAGGCCCAGAACATTGGAAGCTTGCAATAAAGAGCACTGTTATATTAGCAAACACTAGTTAGAAGAAGGTAAGTTGGCTAGTTTTAGTTCTCATCAATTCCAAGCATTAGGGAATAACATTTCCAGAGAATTTTCACTTTGAAAGACAAATAATATAATCATTTTAATACAAATCTACAAAGTAATAATAAAATATAGTTTTAAACTTTACAAAAGCATGTTTACTACTGTCTTTGCCTTTGATTCATGACGTTGTCTACTTGGACCCAGGAGGGCATTAATTCATATCATACAGTTGATACTCCTCTGGCTCTAAATAGACAGTGTCATGAACCAAAAATACATTACATTGACCAGTTTCAGTCTATCAAAAAAGAAACCAAAAAAAAGAAAGAAAAAGGAATGATGTAATTAAAATTATGCAACAAATGTGATTTCTGTTCCATATTTCCTTTCTTTTTTTCTTTCAAGTTTTTGGACTGACATCAAGTAGCATTGAAGTAGTGTGAAGAAGAAAAAAAAACAAGAAAATGATGAAATGACGGAGTTGAGGGTTATGGAAAATAATGACGAGTTTGAAGAGAAATTAAAATGTGATCACCTGCTATCAAAAAGGATTACAAATGTTGCAATGATTTTTCTCTACCTTTTTCAATAAATTAGCATGTTATTTCAGCAGAGGGCAATGGAGCTACTTTGCTTGTGTTAGGCTTTGACATAAACAGCTTTGTTTATTTGTTGTTTTCTGAGTGGATATTGACCTTGTTTCATAAAGAAGGCCCCTTACTTCGATGGCTCGCGGATATCCAGCGAAGTGGCGATGTCCCACAGTGTGTTGGCGCTAGCTTGAAGTTGGGCCTGCTCTTTGGTATTCAAGGTCTGCTTGATAACATGGGTGATTCCGTCTTGTCCAAGGATGCACGGGAGACTAAGGAATACTGGATGTTCAATACCATGGTATCCCTAAAGAAGAAAATCATTATACAATTATATTATCATTGGATTTGATCTGAATTATGAAATGAATTTGGTCTGAATTATGAATTGAATTTAATCTGAATTATGAAATGAATTAAATCTGAATTGTGAATTGAATTAAATCTGAATTATGAAATGAATTTAATTATTTAGTCTGAATTGTGAATTTAATTTTAGTATGCGTTTGTGTTATTTATGTTCAAGTGAATTGTACTTTTCTGTATCCATTTGTACCTTATTGATGTTTATTATAGCTACAGACTCCCGACACCCTAAGTTGGACTTAACAATTATGGAAAGCTGTTAGTGTCTTTGAAAATATTTTGTAAAAGTTATTTTTAAAGGCATAAAATGTTGATTCAAATCATTCATATTTTTCTATTATAAAGGAGATTCCATGTTCTCGATGTAGAATTTATAAAAAGTCTAAAATACTTCAATTTTTGCTTTTTAATACATTTTATTTCAAGGCTACAAATGGCTCTCCATAATGTTTAAGTCCAACTAAGAGTTATGTTCGACTTAGGATCTTTGTGAAACACCCCCCTGAAATGGTGAAAATCACTCATATCTCAATCTGAGCATTTAGCAAAAGAATGAAATCTATTCCTCACCAAAATCTACTTATTCCCTGTCTTGTCCATGCAGACCTGCCAACCTCTGGAGTTCAAAAACTGTATTCTTTAATCCCTAAAGTTGTATTTCACTGATAAAAATTGTATTAAAACAAAAAACATGGATCAATGCCTCTTGCAGTTCCTACATAGAGGAAGATTTTTTTTATGAATCATTGGTTGAATATGCATGATTTCGTCATGACTGGTGTGTTCAATGAACCAATAAACATCCCCAAATTGCGATGTGAAATACTTGTAGGATACTTTACAGGACAGAATGGGCATTTTGCATTTTTGTTTTGTTTTTGGAAAATCATTTTATTGAGGAAATCGTACTTATTTCCTTCTAAAAATCGTACGAAATACGATTAAATTGTACTAGTTGGCAGCACTGTCCATGGTTATAGATTTTTCAAAAACTTGACCGACAATAAAGAATAAAGCTTACTTTGGCGACGGTAGAAACGGCATAGACTCCCTTCTGGTTCCTGAGCACAGCTGCAGCAAGCGTTGCACAGCTCAGTCCGATGGCCCATGATGTATAGCCTTTCAATTTGATAATCTCATATGCACTATCAATGGAAACAAAAGTAACATTGCATTGAAGACAAAAACCATGATGGTAGCTCCACTGTATTTACACAAAAAAAACAATATAAGGCTGCGAATACTCGAGTACTAGCACTGTTAACAACTACTCGAGTACGATTTCTCGTACTAGAATACTTGGCCGCCATTTTTTTTTTTTTGCCATCCCCTGGCACTCTCCAGGCCGACGCTTACCCGTGCCCGGGAAGCAGCGCCGGCATGACAGCGCGGGTAAAATTGTTTCCCAGCTCAATCACTGTCAACTCACCACTCAAAAACTGGGACCAAATGTCTGGATTTCTGTTTGGACTCGGAGGAAAATGGATTATTCTGTCATCTTTGGTTTAAAAAACAGCATTGATCACAATCATTATTATTATTAAATCGGTGCCTTCAACTGCAACTCAAAGTAAAATCGTTTGAGTTTTCGGAGACAAACTTGGGATACTTCTCACGTAGTATGGTGGTGGCAAAACAAAAAATCAAACAAAAAATTCCTCCCCCCCCCCCCCAACAAAAAAACATGGCGTCCAAGTATTCGAGTATTCGCCTGTAAGCCTGGGAGTGCACTCGAGTACCTCATTACACGGTTATGCACAGCCTTAACAGAATGTCCTTTGAAATATACAATGAGATAACAATATTTTTGGTGCTGATCTGAGAATTTAGATGCTCATATATCACCTACATTAAGACTTCTTATTACATTTAGTACCTGTACTAAAGGTCTGTTGCAGGGCCTTGTTTTAAAAAAATTGTTATCCGTAACCAATTGCAATTAAGCTGTTAGAAGCTACGGATAACTTTGCATCTGATTGGCTGAAAGCAAATTTGTTATAAAAATGTGACACTTGTTTAATACTGATAACATATTTTAAGGAATGTGGCCCTGAGCCTTTCTGAGGGTATATCTAACAACAATATTTTCTCAGGGGTGCTATCGTGCCTAATTAGAGGTCCCACAATTAAACCGCACAAGTTCCAGCGTCCATTTCTTACAAATGCTATCCTTAACTTCATTCCTGTACCCAAAATAAAGCTAACCATGACCGTATCTTTGATGAAATAAGTTCAAAGAAAATATTACTGAGGGACATGACCCTGTAGCACATCACTGGTCTACATGGTCACTGGTCTACATGATCACTGGTCTACATGATCACTGGTCTGCATGATCACTGGTCTACATGGTCACTGGTCTACATGGTCACTGGTCTACATGGTCACTGGTCTACATGGTCACTGGTCTACATGGTCACTGGTCTACATGATCACTGGTCTGCATGATCACTGGTCTGCATGATCACTGGTCTACATGATCACTGGTCTGCATGATCACTGGTCTACATGGTCACTGGTCTACATGATCACTGGTCTACATGGTCACTGGTCTACATGGTCACTGGTCTACATGGTCACTGGTCTACATGATCACTGGTCTACATGGCCACTGGTCTTCATGATCACTGGTCTACATGATCACTGGTCTACATGATCACTGGTCTTCATGATCACTGGTCTACATGGTCACTGGTCTATATGGTCACTGGTCTACATGGTCACTGGTCTACATGATCACTGGTCTACATGGTCACTGGTCTACATGATCACTGGTCTACATGATCACTGGTCTACATGGTCACTGGTCTACATGATCACTGGTCTACATGATCACTGGTCTACATGATCACTGGTCTACATGATTACTGGTCTACATGATCACTGGTCTACATGATCACTGGTCTACATGGTCACTGGTCTACATGGTCACTGGTCTACATGGTCACTGGTCTACATGGTCACTGGTCTACATGGTCACTGGTCTACATGATCACTGGTCTACATGATCACTGGTCTACATGATTACTGGTCTACATGGTCACTGGTCTACATGGTCACTGGTCTAAATGGTCACTGTTCTACATGGTCACTGGTCTAAATGATCAGTGGTCTACATGATTACCTGTCTATGACTTCTTGATGAACTTGGTGCATATTCTCAGGATCCTTGACAGTGCCTATCTCAGGGTCGAGTTGCTGAAGGCTTACTCCTGCTACTGTTGTTGATGACCACACAGCAACTGCAATGAAAAGGGATGCATAATTCATAAAATTCATGTGAATTGATATCATAAGTTGTTCCATCTCAGAAGCAGCAATGTGCACATGTCCATTCCCTTAGAATATGACCAGGGGAGTGTTTCACAAAGACTACGATCCCTTTAAGTTGGACTTAACTATGGCAGGCCGTTCATGCCACTGTTTTCTCTCACCATTTACTGGCATTGTCTCTCAAGGGACGTACAAATTATGGTCACAAATCTACAGAATGTACATTTTTTGATAATTCATTATTGAAGGAATAAATAATATCTAAAGATCATAATGGTGAGATCAAACAGTGGCATGAACAACCTGCCATATTTGAGTCCAACTTAAATTTGATCTTAGTTTTTGTGAAACACTCCCCAGTTTAACAATCTTCAATGTACTTAGATCTGCATTCCTAAGGGTTTGTTCACACAATAAACTGCATTGAATAGACTACCATAGCTATAATGAAATCAAGATCAGGCTTACCGCTTGAATCACCATGCTCCCCGATGATGTACCCATGGACACTAGAGGGCGCAATTCCTAATTTTTCTCCGAGGAGGAAGCGAAAGCGTGCTGTGTCCAAGTTGGTCCCTGAACCGATGACCCTGTTTGATGGCAAGCCGCTCAGTTTCCATGCAACGTATGTGAGGATATCAACGGGATTGGAGACGACGAGAAGAACTGTGTTTGGACTGTAGCGCACGAGATTGGGAACAATACCTGTGAGACAGCGTACATGCAGGAAAATGGTGTTATTTATAAACATAACGACATATACTGACTGTTTACAGATGATAGTAAGTAGTGGTCAAGCAATTTCATTTAAAACCCCACTGCACTAGTTTGGCCAGGGGGGATTAGACCTCCCTGCATGGTCACTACCAGGTGTTTATCTCATCAAAGCGGCTCTCAATTAACATAAGAAAAGGAGGATCATAAGGGACCAATGGTCACAGATTAGGCATTGTTTGCTATAACGAGGGTGCAAGTAGCTATACATGTAAGTAGTGCAGTGGGGCTTTAAAAGAATTTACTTAGAAATTGATACGCTCATTTTGTCATAACTCCTAACATAATACACATGTATTTTCTTGTTCTTTTTCTTCTGCATATATATTGTGTAAGCTGTTTTGGAGTTGAATAGGCATTCAATTCTATATATACATGTATTACCTATTAGTGGCTATTACATGTACTTTGATTGCTAAAGTGTTTATTTTGTATTCAAACAAGGTTTACATACATGTACATGTACGTACTTACCTTATAAAGGGATTTTCAAGTAATTCAACACAGAGGCTAAAGCCACAGACATGTAGCCGGGTTTAATTGTCTGTCTGTAGATGTACATATATAGTAAAAACATGTGAAACACTTGTTATGTTTACCAATTATTGTATTACTTATTATACAGAGCACTTATCATTCTACTTAATGTGATTTGCTGCTGTTACTGATGTTGTCATTGTTGTTGTGGTCTACACTCTTATTACTACAAATGAACATCATCATCATTATAGTTAATATAAAAATCGTCAATTCATTACCATTGCTAACAACATTTTTATCATTAATCATCATCATCATCATCATCATTAATATTACCTTCAAATATTTTGACATTTCTTTGTACTAGATTAAGCCTGCTCTCTCCCTCCCTCTGCCTAGCTCCAGCAGTAATAATACATAGTCTAGATCCAGCGGTTACTTTGTAATCTGAAGAAGAAAACAAAGAGTAATGTGGGTAAACAGACCAACATTAAATTCACATGTAGATTAAGAGTAACACTTCCTAGAATTCAAGTATAAGTTTTCCAACAAAATATAGTCGATTTCTTCTCTTTTAATTCATTTTTTCATGTTGAGTCTGGTCAATTCATCCTTTTGCAGTACAATTTGAAAATGATTATCCTGTGATCATAGTATGTTTTTTTCATCTCTCAAACTGTTTGCAGAATTTTCATATACATGTACATTGAACACAATGTATCAAACTCTCCTTCCCTCCCTCTCTCCCTCATGATTGTGTATAACCTTGTATTTGTTTTTTTTAACACAAAAATAAAATCAAACAAACAAACATTTAGCGATAATACTTTTTTGTAAGGAAATTTAAAAATGCTCGTACATGTGAGAACACAAGCTTACATACTAATTTACTCTGATGCTCTAGTCTGTGATACTCTTGAGAATTTCAATGTACTCTTTAAAGGGAACCAAAACCTTCATACTAAGTTACTTTTATTGTACGGTTTAAGATATTTGAAAAATATCAGTGAAAATTTGAACAAAATCGGGCAAGGAATAAGGAAGTTAGAGCTTTTTGAAATGACTAGTCACTAGAGGACGGTATTCAAATTGCTGACATCTATGGACAACTCTCCATGCCTTTGTACATCAAATTTCACGTTTTTCCTTCTTTCTTGTGATTAAGATAATCTACTCCCCTGAAAGCAAGATATAGAAAGCAAAATGATATTCTACTTCACATGTTATGAAGTCGGATCAAGAACATCAATAAATGCGAAGAAAACAAACAAATTGTGAAATTTTATGTACAAAAGGCATGGAGAGTTGTCCACAGATGATGTCATCAAATTGAATACCGCCCTCTAGTGACTAGTCATTTCAAAAAGCTCTAACTTCCTTATTCCTTGCCCGATTTTGTTCAAATTTTCACTGATTTTGTTCAAATCTTTTAAACTTTACAATAAAAGTAACTTAGTATGAAGGTTTTGGTTCCCTTTAAGTCTCTAAAATTCTTCGACATAATGCCATTTTATTCCTTGTTGTTACACTTTTTGTGTTTCTTTTCTCTTTGTCTTGAGAACAAGAGGATGAGGTGAGATGTAACTTCCTCATTGAATTTGCAGTCAAGGAAGCTACTTGAGTCATTAGAAATAACAAGTGTATAACAGGGGTGTAGTGACAGAGCTGCCAACCTCCAGAACAGAAAATCAGTAATCACGAGGCATTTCCATAATTTGATTAAACAAGTTCGTTTTCACTGGCTGCCTGCCGTAGCAACAAACAGAGTTGACAAAAGACCTAACTCCGTTTCGTTGATGATCAGTCATGCATCAAGTCTTTCATCTTCTTCGTGCATGTTGCTACCTTTAATCAAATTATGGAAATACAAGCAAACATACATAAATTTGTTAGTCCTGGCTCATTTTTCCTGATTGAGGTGACATATATGAAAGGGCAGAAATTGAACTTTCTAGAAATGTGATTTTCTCCTTGAAATTCAGATACCGCCCGCCAAATGACTTTTTGGTTTCCTCTCTTCAAGTTGTTTTAATCACTCATGCGTAAAATATGCATCATATGAGTTGCATTAAATGAAAGAGGATCTAAGCTTTATAAATATGTGTCATTTATTAAAGGGAAAGTCCACCCCCAAAATAAGTTTGTTTCGATAGAGGCAGAATAATAAGAAAATCAGGTGAGTGAAAGTTTGAGCAAATTCTGAATGAAAATAAGAAAGTTATGAATTATTGAAGTTGTGATCAATCAAATACAAATTGGCAACTCTGTGACTTATTATACGAGCTCTCCTTCATTTGCTTTGTGCATAATATTCCATAAAATCATGTTTTCTTCGTTATTGATGACGGAATATATATTTGTTCCTTGCAGGGGGAGTATAGAAACATACTGTATTTGCAATTATTATATTTAGGGTGCATGTATGGTTGAAATTTTTCTTGAGGGAAAATGAAAATTTTAGATTTTTTTAGTACTGAGCAAATGGAAGTTGAGCTCGCATGATACGTCATAGAGTTGCCAATTTGTGTTTGATTGATCACAACTTAAAAAATCCTAACTTCCTTATTTTTAATCGGAATTTGCTCAAACTTTCACTGACTTGTTTCTCTCATTTTTCTACTCCTATTAAAACTAACTTAATTTCAGGGTGGACTTCCCCTTTAATTATAAATGTGACTAAGTTATGATAAAACATCGATAATTCTTGTTTTGTTTTTTCTGGGATGCACTGTACATAATCAAGGGCCCTTCTAGCTCTTAAAACATAGTACAATATTAGATAGCGTAGACAGATACTAAGATGTGATTGGTCCAGAGCTCGTCACATGATATCGAGTGGGAGGATCGTTATTGTTATATTTTCCTGGCCGGTCACTTTCCAGTGTTATATTCACCAGCTGGTGAACTGAATATATTTTTAATCAATGCATGTCGCCCTCTTGAGGACTGTATGTCACCAATCACCGGTACACAAATTACACTAACAACGAGGGTCAAATTTTTTTTCTTCCCTTGTCATTATATTTTCAATATTTTTGTTTCCAATTATTTTTCCTCAAAAATTTTTCTAAAATTTTCGGGCAACAAAAAATGGACCCCCCCCCCCCCTAAATTTTCAAACCAAGGCTTTCTAATATTATATACCTCTCTTTAGAAATATAGCCATCTGATTGGTCGAAATTGCAGTGGTGATTTCGGATATGGTCAATTGTAGTTCACGAGTGATATCCGTTGCCCCGGGTAACAGGCCGCGTAAATCAGTTATGCTCAGATCCCCATTGGTTTACGTGTTAAAATTTTCTTTGTGCGAGCGTGGACACCATACAGTGCTTTTTGTCTGCGATTCCCAAATGATTGAAACTTTCAGTCATTTTTCAAGTGGACATAAACGGACAGTTTCTCAGATTTTCTGTGATGTTTTAACCAATCTTTACTTACCGTATTAAAAGGATAAGGTAAGATTTCTTGGTAGATTTTTGTTTCAATTCGGCATATAAAAGAGATATTGACTGCTTTAATATTTGAGGCCTGGCTGTTCTCGGGAACTTGCACATCTTGCCATGACCCAGAGATGCGCCTGGCGCACACGTTCCCTTGAGCATATAAAAAAGTCAGACCTCTCAAAGCAGTCGATATCTCTATATAACAGGTATATAACATTCTTCGGACCTGAAGGGAGTTATATTTTCCCAAGCAGCGCTGAGGGAAAATATAACCACTTGGGAAAATACAACTCCCTTTAGCGGTCCAAAGAATGTTATATTATGGTACACCCCCTGCCAGTCAATATCTGTATACTGTCTATAGTGGTATTCAGAAAGACAGAGTCAATGACCTCTTTTTTTTTTGTACTTTGGGGACTTAATTAAACTGATAAACTTGTACATTTGTTTCCATGTACATTTTTTCACCAAAAGAAATAGTGGCTTGCACTACACATTGGAACTGCAAATTATGTTTAACATGTACATGTACACTGTATGTACCCCTGTTTTTAATATATGTTTTATGTACATATGTACACTGTATAATATAATTAATTGTGCAATACCAAGAAACATACCGGTATATATTCTGAGCTACACCCTGTACATTGTAACTTCAAAAATTTAAACATTCCAGAAAATAAACATGTAGGTTTTGGATACTCTTTATTCAATAATGTATGATTTTGAGCAATTGAATCTATTTCAAAGAGAGGTGGTTGTCACGTGGCCATGTGCAGGAGGTCAAAACTCGCTAATACCACTGATCAGACTTGGTGAAAAGACCATTAACGGGTGTACACACTATGAACATGACTGGCTATTATGTAAAAATGTGTAGAAAAGGCGTCACATGCATATTCACCTTTTTACATAATAGCAGTGAAGGGATGTTCCTTTATCTACCTGAGGAACTGTATATTTTGTCCGCCTTCTTTGTCAGTCATGTTCATAGTGACAAAATGTCTTAACCAATGGTACCATCAAGAAATACCCCGAATTAGTCTCTCACTCTCAGAGAGCCTTCAGGTGCAGTACAAATTAACATAACTACTTAATATGGGGGATGGGTGGTCTATGAACTCTAGCATTACATAAGGCCTGTTGGATATAATAACTAAAGGCTGATCCTGGGGATCGACAATTAACACCTGTTAATGGGTAAACACCTGAATGGTATCAAATTCCATATGAGAGCCCACTACAAGTAGACCATTTGTATTAGGTCCATGAGAAGAGCTGTAATTAGATGCACATGAACATGTCCATGTACCCTGTACAAAGAGTAAAATGTCATCTGGGATATATTTCTGCATACCACCTTTTATCTAAAATTTGTATCGCAGAGATCTCTTTCGCCACCTGGTATACACCTGGTATACACCTGGTATACACCTGGTATACACCTGTACATGTGTAGCTTTATGTGTAATTTAATAAGCAGTACATAATACCAAACAGCAAAACAAATGCATGTACTTGGAGGCCTACATATAGCCCCCAATGATGTGAGCGCATGGATGAAAAAGAACCTTAAAGGTAAGTACCAGTTTTGGAAACGCTGCCATTTCAAAAAATGAAATGGAAGCTCTTATTACCAATCATGTGAAAGAATAAGTTTTAACCAATACTAGATGATACAAATTTTGCCGGGAAACCTCCTACTAATTGATATACTTGGTAAATTATTATATCTGGACTGGATAGATAAAGGGTAGTCCTATATACATGTTTCTGTGTACAGTGCTTGTAACTTTACCAAGACTGGGCCAAATTTATGGGTAATTGTTTTCAAATCAAAGAAACACGTACTTCAGTGGTAACTTATATCTCTACAGTCCCCACATCTAAAGGAGGAAATAAAACGCAATCTTCCTACGCTGTTTCTCCAGCTCTCTCTCTCTCTCTCTCTCTCTCTCTCTCTTTCTCTCTACCTGCTTTGTTGTTTTTATTCCATCAACCCCATTGGTTCCACTCTCCTGTTCTACACTATCTCTCTACCCCCCCCCCCCCCCCCCATCCCCACCTCCTCCTTCCCTGTCTATCCTGTATTCTGTCTGTCTCACTTTCCCCCTCCCAACGGTCCCCCTCTCTTGTTCCATCTCCCTTCCCTCCCTCCCTTTGTCTCTATCTGTTTCATGTTCTATGCTCATGCCCCACCCCCTCCTTCCCTGTCTATCCTGTATTCTGTCTGTCTCACTTTCCCCCTCCCAACGGTCCCCCTCTCTTGTTCCATCTCCCTTCCCTTCCTCTCTTTGTCTCTATCTGTTTCATGTTCTATGCTAATGGCCTACTAAACAAAAGGACACAAGTCACATTTTTTTCCCCAGATATTAAAATTACTATGAAAGCAATGAAGTCTAAATTTCACTGACTGTTGTGTAAAATTTGCAAAGGGAAACTAACTGTACAAGGACGATTGTCTTGGGTTTCTTTAGGGCATTTTTTCTCTAATACATGTACATGTAAATACAAAATTCTCAAAACTAGCAAATTGGCACTTGCTTCCTTCAGTAATTTATTCAGGCAACTTGAGAGGGGAATGCATCTCTATCAGATGAACACTTGAGAAGGCATGGCAAAGACATCAATCGGCAGAAGCACCTTAAGAGAACGTGACACGGCTCACATTCTAAAATGGTGTACATTGAAGTACACTGTAGGTACATGTACACTTAAAGGTGCAAGTCAATCTTGTATTACCATAAAGTGTTTTTATCTAAATTTCATCCAAAAGAAAGTGAGACAGACAGAATACTGGATAGACAGGGAAGGAGGGGGTGGGGCATGAGCATAGAACATGAAACAGATAGAGACAAAGGATTTCAGTAGCTTATAACAAAATCTGTCATTTGTCACTAATGACAAGTTTTGTGAAACGCCCCCCTGTTCATACTCCTTCCACATTCCAATTTTGCATTTTTCAATTTTAGTTTGTGGACCACCCTGCTCCCCCCCCCCCCCCCCAATCCTTCACAGGAGGTCCAATAATCCTGTAGCCATTAAAGTGCAATTCATTTTATGAACTCATAAAGGGTGTGATAAAATTTCATTTCATTTCAATCTCTTCCATTTTCAATTCCATTTTTCTCCTCTCTTTTTCATTTCATCACTTTCACACGCTATATTTCCCTTCTAACATATATGTACTGTAGATGTAAAGGTACAGTGTAGCTACAAAATCCCAGTAGATCCTGTTTATACTTGGAACTACCAATATTCATGAAGTGTGTTACTTTGCTTCCTGTATTTTCTTCTTTACTTTTGTAGTCAACAGAATGTATGTACCGGTAATGCATGTAATCCAACTCTTAGGAGGCATACATGTACATGTCCTTAGCAGCAATGACGGTTTTCAAAGCCCAAGTGATATAAACACATTGGCCCAAATTCACAAAGGAGGTTTACATTTAACCCAAGGTTTAAACCTTCATTTACATAACCCATGGTTTAAAAATTAGGGTACCTTGCCTTGCGCGTCTAATATTGGACCTCTTGACTGTGTTGCGTTTATTTTGCGCTAATTTTAAACCATGGGTTATGTAAATAAGGTTTAAACCATGGGTTAAATGTAAACCTCCCTTGTGAATTCGGGCCATTCAGTAGTTGATACGCAACCTAAACATGTGCCCCCATCCTCTCACATTTCAAACCTTTATCCCCATCTCTATTCTTTCTCTTGTTTCTCTTTTTTTCTTCTCATTCTTTTCCTTGCTAGGGAATTGTGCCCTCCCCACACTTTACACAATTCTGGATCTGCCCATGGGTAGCATAGATATTCTACTGGGAACCACATCACTGAGTCTTACATGTACATGCAAGTTCGTTCGTTCATGTCTCCTTAGATCAAGATTAATGTATCTTGATCTTCGGAGTAGTTGCTACAACCGGCTGTGTTTGACACGTTGCCCCGGGTGCGAGATAGGACTCTTGTAGCGTGCCCTCATTTAACACAATTATACAATAACAATTAACATTACATTTAATTAATAGTATGAAACTATTAAAATTACTCTCATGTTACGGGAAAAAATATTATGTATACCGGTATATGAATCAATTGATTTGGTTGATCCAGTTCGATGGCACAAACACGGCACTACTGGACAGAGATCCTAATAATTACAGAGCTTGGTCTTGTTGCTCTGTTCACCAGCAGTTTGAGGATATGGAATCCCCCGGCACATTACTCACAAGAGTTCTAACAAGCCAAGCTTATACAGAGCCTATAATAAGTAATGTTGTGCATGTACCACCCACCCGATCGATCAAAAACTCAGAACTCATAACTGAATTTTTTTTTTTAATTAAAATTTAAAAAAAGAAATGAAGAAAGAAAAAAAAAAGAAGAAAGAAGAAGAAAAAAAAACATGAAATGGTAACCATCTAAAATTTCATAGTTGTGATAAATATCTATAAAGATTTATCAAGCACCAAAAATAAATAATATCATGTTCAAGAAAAATATATATACACTATTATTCTTCTTTCGTGTCCTCAAATGCTTTGCCAGGCCTTGGCACACTGAAGAGCCTTCTCATTTGCTGCCACCAGGTCTTCCAGGCAGCATTGGTGAATTAGGAGTGGACATCTTAATAAGTGTGACATGGATTGCACGGATGTTTCACACTCGCAGTTGGTGTCTGTGTCGTCGGTATATCCCCATTTATGCATGTTGTATTTACATCGTCCCACCCCTGTGCGAAGCCTATTGAGCCTACATGCGAGTAACTGTAACATATCGTGCAAATGCCCAAAAGACCATCTCAAAATAACAAATTACGTACCGGTATAACTTGTATATTCTATTTAAAGATTAAAATAGAAAGAATGGGCTTTTCTTACCTGTATCTCCTTTGACTGAACACCCCTTGACGAAGGCTTGACCGTGCTGCATGTCATAAACCTCACCTTTTAACTTATCAGCAATCACATCTACCAGGGCTATCTCACTTGCTATATTCTGTGCAAAGGAACAAAAAGGAATCCTTATTACAATAAAGAACGTCCTTATAATTATTTACATACATGTACATGTACATACACACACACAACAAAATCAAGGCATCTGGTTGACTAGATCCCTTTTTCAGTTTTCCAGAGTTTTATGAGATTTCCAGTTTACTTATTCTCCAATACTGCGCATTATTCTGCCAATGCTCCTGAATTGCACAAGTAATGAAGGTATTCACAAGCCAGCTCATTTGAGCGATGCACACCAAGCACCAACAGTGTGATACAAAGGGCACCCCGCCCCCCCCCCCCCTCCCCGGGTCCTCTTTTACTCTTTTACCTGTGTCATAATGCTATAGGCGCAAGCCATGCCCACTTGCCCGACACCAACAATGGTCACTTTGGTCGGAGAGCTGTCGTCTAAATGGTCAACGACCATGTCCATCAGTTTACTGGTGATGGTCGTCATCTTGTTTCTGCAGTTCTGAAAAATGGAATTAAAAAATATTAAAAAAACTGTTTTTAACAGTCCCTTTCATTGACTGGTTTGGTTTATATTGCTGCTTAAAATTTGTTTTGTTCCTTTGACTTTGTAAAGTTACTAAAGAAATATGATTAAACTTACATGTAAACCAGTTAAAGAAACAGGCAACAAAATCTGTAATCTGTACCGTAATCTTCACACTGGGATATACATGTAAATGGGTGCCTTATACTTATAGTTATAGAGATCTTGAATCTTGATGAGGTAATCCCTGAATTTTGAAGCAGCTATTCCAAGCTATACTGGGATGAGATGCGCTGTGACAACAGGAGAAGGTGCAGACAACGTTTTTTTCTTTCTTTTTTTTCTGATTAATTTTTTGGAATAGTCTACTCTATTACAGTTGGACAGAAGTAACCATCTGGTATGGGTCATTCTTGAATAAAACTGACATTTGTCAACCTTCCCCATTTACTTTAGAGGTGGTCAAGGGAGCCAGTTGTAATCTCATCATCCTCATCAGCATCATCATCGATATACAGGAGTCAGGTAGTCCTGTACTGTAGGTCTCCCAGTTGTCTTCCAAGTAAAAGTTCAGTTGTCAGTTTGCAACTTAAGACGTAGTGCAGAATGCATGGATGTCAGGTTACATGAAATTGTGTTAATAGCAAGCCAGTGTTTATCTAGACCAGTCTTAAAAATACCTATGTTCAAGCAGTGACTATAGAGATTCTGGCAGTTTATTCCTGAGCTCGATGACACGTTTACTGAAGAAACAGCCTCTGACATTCAGCTTGCGATGAGTTTTAAACAGCATAAATGGATGTCCACGAGTAAATTGGTACTTTGGTCTCTTGATAAAATGTTCTGGACCGAGTCTGTCAATATCATGAAGTATTTTATAAACCTGGACCATATCAGCCCTCTCACACCGGTAGCGAAGTAAGAATAGATTGAGTTTTTTTAAAGTCTTTCTGGATAGGATAATAAACTCATACCAGGAATCATTCTTGTTGCTCTTCGTTTGCACAGCTTCTATCTTGCAGTCATATTCATGATACAGTACAATATTCAACTTCAAGATGTGGGCGTACCAGGGTTGAGTAGAGGTATGAAGATGTCCTGGTGGTAATTGACAAAAGCTCTTTTGTTGATTCCCAACATCTGGTTTGCCTTTTGTATCACAGCTGCTTCAGCTTATATTTTGCGCATGCTCGTTCATCCGATCTCGGCGAATCGCAGTCTGATTTTACTAAATTGGCGGCGACAAGGGCCCTTCTTATTGGCTATCGCTGGCTCCCATTCATTCAATGATATAAGATATTAGTACGAGGAGGAAGCTTCTGATTTTCTTTTTCTTTCGATACCAAAATTATGACATTTCAGTCAAACCCTCTATTTGTTAATATAATTTTTTCACTTAAGTTTTAGTCTTACGTAACTATTTTAAAAGTTTGATCAATTGTCATTTTCGTCACATTTAAGGAACAAACTGGAAATTTATTCTGAGATGTTTGTTGGTTTTTCTATTTTATGTGTGTGCAATTTCGTGCGTGCGTCAGTTCTGTGTGAAGTGCGTCACCTGTTTAAAGCACGACATGTCAAAATCTCTGTGGTGTGACCTAATATTACGTACCGATATTGACTTTGCTATTGAACTTGAGTTGCGCGTAAGTCAAGTAGGCCCTCTCTCACTTAAATTTGAAGCCATTTCGAGCAGATCGACCAATGAGAACGTGTAAACTCAGTGCAGTCTTCATCATTCATGGTCTTTATACTAAATACTAGAGTAAGACCGCCAAACTTCGGACACTTAAGACATAACGGGGGAAAACATTAAATTCTCTTTTAATTATTGAAAGACCAATTATAGGCCTACTATTATTGTGCAAGTACTGTTTATGTACTGTATGTCATGTAAAAGAAAATGGAAAACTAGAATTAGGTCTAGTTGAGATTCCCAAATGATCGAAACTTTCAGTCATTTTTCAAGTTAAGATTGAATAAGATTATAAACACTATTCACTAGAATCTAGCAGTACAGAGTAGACTTGCACTTAAGTCTATTTACAGACAGTGTCTCACTCTCAGATTTTCTGTGATGTTTTAATTTAAGACAGTGTGTCTCAGATTTTCTGTGATGTTTAAATTTAACCAAGCTTTACTCAATAAAAGGATATTAAGTTAAGAATTCTTAGTAGATTTTTGTTTCAATTAGGCATATAAAAGACATATCGACTGCATTAATATTCGAGGTCTGGCTGCTTTATATAGACTCGGGAAGTAGCAGATCCTGACATGACCCCTACCTACAGCCTTTTCACACACAGCTAAAATTCATCGTATCTAGTGATGATTAGAATCATCGTAAAATTTTAAACATGTTTATAGACAAAATTTCCCAGTGTGAACATCGTTTATACGATGTTGGGATAGATACGAAGTCGCGATCCATACGCCCCTAAAAGCAGGCTGCAGATACGAAGTTCGTATCTAGAGAGCTTGACATTTTGTGTGTGAAAGGAAATTCTTGTTTAAACGTGTTTAAACTGGATGGAGCATGCGCTTTGATTGACATGACATGACCTTCAATGCGCAATGGCACTACTGCGCATTTTACGAGCAGTAGTTAATCACGAAACAATTAACGATCGCACCGAAATTTCTGTGTGTGAAAGGCTCGTGATTAGTTTAAACACGTTCGAAACACGTTTATACTAGTCATGTTTATAGAATTTTAGCTGTGTGTGAAAAGGCTGCTAGTCGCGCAGCCCACCCAGGCGCCCCTCAGGCCAAGGTCATGGCAGCTAGGATCTGAACGCGTTCCCTTGACAGTCGATACCTCTAGATCTAGACCCTATATCATCTAAATTATATTACCAAATGCTGATACAATACGTACCTCCAAAAAACTCGAGCTCGAAAATTGGTCTAGCAATAATAAACCATCCGAATGTCAGAATCTACTAGGACCCTTGGAGACGGCACACTCTCTTCCAGGGGCAGAGTATCGGAGAGTGCAGGCGGCGCGGCGGATCGAATCGAGGACTCGCAAACCGCGCATATATTATGCTAGGTAGTGCTTGTTTATCGTTGATTGACCAGGATTGTACTCCGTTCTCAAGATTCCCAAATGGTAGCCTCGCGTACGGTGTTGAATGCGAGATGTGTTTGATACCAGTAAAGAGTTACGTGCAGCTTATCACGTTTTCTTATCTGTGCAGTCAATGAACCACCGTCCTTGCCCTTAGCGAATGCGATCTTTTTTTTCTCGAGTTGACCCATACTCTATGATAATGCGAATAAAAACATATTTGATTTGATAGTTATAGCAGGTACCTCCCTGGTTATAGACGTATCTGACCATACCAAGGAATTCCGGATCTGGCTGTGGCGAAAGGAAGAAGGTTAATTATCTCCATATTTTGGTGAAATTACAGGCTACACCAGGGAGGTTGCGGCTACATCTGTTTTATAGGGGGTGGATATAAAGAGGGCGTGGTCAATCGCGAAGTGGACGACACCGAAAATAGAGAATTGAATAAAAGCCAAATTGCTATAGGTGTGTCTTGTCCTTCACGAAAATCAATGACGGATTCCTAAATTATACTTAATTAAAATTCTTGAATTGTGTCCTATAGCTTTCATGAGGTATGATAATTACAATTATTTTGTTTACCCATGCAGGGAAGCCTCATTAGATTCGATTTAATGTGTTTTTCCTGAGGTCCCTGCAATTATCATCATTATACCCCAGAAATTACCAGGTACCCATGCATTGACACCTGGGTGCAGAATGCAAATGTTGATTAATTTCTTGTCGAAAGTGCCGGACAGAGATTCGAATCCTCCACCCTCGGATTGGGAGTCAAGGAAGTGAACCAATACCAGCACCGTCTTCCAGTTGACCGGAGTAAGTGCCTCCTCATCAGTAGCCGCTATCGAGGCGCTCACGCACTTCCGCCTATCCATATGACGGACTTTCATGTCGTCACGTCACAACCAGATCAGACGCATCGGGACCGCCCCCCCCCCCCAAAAAAATGGAAAAAGTGCGGGGGGAAAGCATTTTCGCTCTCCTGAATAGCCCACCCCCCCCCCCCCAACCAAGAAAAGAAAAAAAGCATTAAAGGAGTAAAAATGGTTATATATTTTTTTAACCAAAAATAAAATTAAAATAATAAAACCTGAATTGAATCACGTAAAAATTATATTTCATTCAAAGAAAAGTAGAGTTAACAGGAATCAATTTTCTTTAACACTCCGCATGCCCCTATATTTATCAATGGAGGGTTTTATAAAAGCGATACGCGCATATCGTGGAGATATCGTGAGAGGATAGGAAAGCGTGTGTATTTTAGGGGCCAAAAAAACATGAGCCCCTGAACACTGGCGTACTGAGTTCTGGTCATGCGATTGCATTGTAAAAGAAACGTTGTGGAATCACCCCCCCCCCCCCCCCAAAAAAAAAAAAAAAAAAAAAAAATCAAATTCAAACGTGGTTTACTACTAATTCGATACCAGTAATTTACAACTCGGGATTTTTTCTCAATTCTTTTTGTAAATTATACTTTTGTATGCGTCTGTTGGAAAAACTATAAGTTCCCAAATTAACAGTTAGGCAAAAAGAAAATGATCATCTGACCGTAATCAAATGCCTAAAACCATTGCCCTAACGGGGGTTCCACCCCCTGGACCCCACCAAGGGCCCTAAGGAGGGCCCCTGGATGCTCATCTGACAGTAATTAAATACCTAAAAATCCCTGAGCTTCCGAAGGGCCCTGCTCACTAGACCCCACCTAGGGCCCTAAGACGGGCCCCTGGATGCTCATCTGACTGTTATTAAATGCCTAAAACCCCTGAGCTTCATGGGGCTCGGCCCCCTTGACCCCCCGCCACTCCGCCAGTGTCACAAAAAAGGTATAAAAATATGCTCATCTGATCGTAATTAAATGCCCAAAACCTCTGAGCTTCCGGGGGCTCTGCCCCCTTGACCCCACCAGGGGCCCTAAGACGGGCCCTTGAATGCTCATCTGACCATACAAAAACGTTGTGCTTCATGGAGCCCATCCCCACTCCATATACTCTAATGCTTGGCTTTATATGTATATATATATAAGATTGCTGGTTAAGAAATTAAAACGAATTGAATTTGGTATCCAAACTAATATAATATATATTAAATCACTTATACAAATTGTGATACATTATTCTACAGTTCGGGAGGGGGAAAATAGATTTTTCTGTATAGAAAAAAGAAAAGGTGACATGGGGCATTTTTTTTAACTTGTAGATTTTATTATTATTATATGAGGGTCTTGTATCAGTGGAGGTCTGTAACTACACTGTTGTTATTAAAAAGAACATTAAAAAATGCAAACAGAATTAATAGATAACTGCCAGGATCGATAAGAAAGTGAAGGACTGAGCAGGAATCTAATATATAATGAGATTCACTGTAAAATTTTCCCATTTTTTTTTATAATGTATTGGCAATTTGTCCTTTATTTCTGCTTTTTCATATTTACCTTTTTTGAGATCTCTACAGCCTTACATATTTCTTTGCTTATTTACATATTTACGATTACTGTATATCATATATTTGACTAAAATCAATACATGATTAAACAATTATGTTATCATTCATAATATTTTCTCTGAAACCGAGTAAAACATTAATCCATTGCAAAATTGAAATAAATTATAGCGCCATCTGTTGTCGAGTCCCTGTAGTTACTTTCAGATACTGATCAACGGGTCAACATTATAAGAGCCCTATACTTTTCTGAATATTTGTCACATCACAATACAGGCATACGAGGTGGGGGAGGTGGTATGGGCTGCAGCCCCCTATTTTTTTCTTTTTAATATCAGCGTTACATGTACATCTTTACAACGTAAACTTTGAGTCTATCTCAGTCTATGATACAAATTCAAATTCAAACTTTATTGATTTGAATCCAAACAGATAGGCCCTCCCCCCCCCCCTCCCCCCCCCCCCACCCACTCCGTGATCGGAGGGATACCATGCGTGTTACCAAAATGTCCGGTAAAGGGGTACTTTTCACCCACCAAAGTCCGGCTCGTAGTCAGGCAGGGGCGTCGCTAGCCCTTTTTCAGTGGGGGGGGGTGTAGAGGCCAACGATTACCGACAAAACTAGCCACCAATTACCGACAAAATTAAATGTCCAATATCTATAAATTCAACCCTATAAACCTGGGGCCGAAGGCTAAATTGTTTTTCCTATGGACTAT